TATATAGACCTGTTAAATGATCATGATCTCGAACTTTATAAAGATTCTCTTTTTTATAATCAAATAAATTAATAGCTTTCCATCTCAAGTAACTTGAAATATGGGTAGGTATGCTAGTTAATTTTTCTTCACAAATATGACAAATTGTTGCATTTTTATACTCTTTTTTCTGTATCTCGGTTAACTTATTCATTTTCTTAACATTATCTAAATAATTTTCAGCTATATATATAACATCTTCTCTTAATTTTTTATATAATACTTTTGGAGCATCTTCACCAAAATATTCAAAAGTTTTTCTTTCAAAATCACCATTGGCATATACAATAATATAAACAAAACTTATTGCAATATGTTTCTGAATTTTAACTGTACTACAATTTTTCTTTCTCTCATTTATCTGTTTTATAACACTTTCAAAATCTGCATAAATAACAAAAGGCACTTTCATTTTATGATTAAAATTTTTAAATTGAATAAGATTATTATATTCATTCGGCATTTTCAACCGTGATGTCTTATTTAATGCACAATAACTCCTATGATTTAACAATTTTTCTTCAGTTTGAAAACTATTTAAACACATTCTGCAAAGATATCTCTTTTTACAATTTTTTGTAATTTGACCCTTAACTAACCCCCATAAATTTTTTATTAAACAATAATGTGTATTATCACCGTCTTTCAAAAGTAATAAATCAATATGTACTTTTTTCTCATCTTTCGTTACATATAAGGGGTTTATATTATATTTCTCAACATGATGATAAACATTAATAGATAATCCACCTTCAATCAAATTTGTTTTATTAACACTGTTTAAAAAACTAGGAATCTTACTAACTTCCATTGGATACTCAATATCTATAAACATATAATTAAACAAATTTTCATATTTCTTATATTTTGTCACTCTTTGCGGATCTTTCTCGACTGGATATAAATGAGCTAAGATTGACCATAAAAAACATTTATCATCATCTTCATTTTTTACATTTATAACTGCTTTTCTGTTAGCTATTTTTACTGGAGTTGGTATATAAGAGCTACCCTTTATGGGAGCATATTTATTTATGGCTACATTGAGAGTGTTAATTGAAATTAACACCCATTGTGATCCTCTTAAACTATCTGAAACACGTTCATGTTCATATAATATTTTAGCTTTCATTTCTTTATATATTTCATCTAAATTTGACTCTGGAAAAATATCATAATTCGGTGTTTGCAAATATTTAACTGCTGATTCTACAACATCTATAATACCACCTTTTTCATAAGTACAAATAACACATAAATGAGCTTTTACAGACTTATGTTTAAATAACCATTTCTTAATAAGACCAAAAACAGATTTCTTTGTACTATCTATAAAATCAGGTATATTTTTAATTCCAGTTTTATTACCAATTTCAAATTGAGTATGTCTACTTTTAAAATTTTCTTTGTAAAATGTAGGCTTATAAATAGATTGTTCCTTACTGGGTTGCTCTATTATATCTTCATGAAATTTAAATGGAAATCCTGTTAACCAATAATTTTTTTCTTCGTCAGTTAATTTAAAAATAATCTCTAATCTACTGTCATTATATGATGAATGCTTTATTTTTCCAATTAAAATACTATACAATCCTTCCAAATTCTGAGTAGCAATTTTCTTTCCATATTGTATGCAAAATGTATAGTTTCTTAAAAAATGTTCTATCTGTTTATCACTTTTATTTAAATATTTATTATGTGCTTGAAAAAACTTAAACCATTTTGAAACATCTATGTCTTTATTTTTCTTCTCAGTTTTTATAAATCTTATTGAAACCTGATTATCCATTTATTAATAAAGTTTTTGACAAAGATATTTTTTAAATAGAAATTTTTGTTTTTATTTAATAAGTAAATTTTTTAATAACGAAAATTATTCTTGGGGAGTGTTCTCTTTACTCATATTATCCATCCTTTTTGAGTGAGATTTAGTTAACAAATGCCTCTTATGGGCTCTTAAATGCATTACTTGACCACATTCACATGCTACCAATTCAGTGCTAACTTTGGTTTTCATACAACCTTTACACCATTTTTGGTTTTTACTAAATTCATTAACACTCTTGAATGTTTCACATTTTGAACATAAATATACATCTCCTGCTTTCAAAGACTGCAATAATACCTCATCTCTATTTATCAACTCATAGATACGGATAATTTTATTATTTCGATTCATTTTTATATTTATTTATATACAAAATTTTTTAATTACATCATGCTACTAATTATGCTTTTGAGTTTAAGTTGTCTATAAAAATCAATGTCTCATCTCATTAAAACTGGAATTTCAATTCAACAATTACAAACTTGGAATTTCAATTCAACATCTACAAACTTGGAATTTCAATTCAACAATTACAAACTTGGAATTTCAATTCAACATCTACAAACTTGGAATTTCAATTCAACATCTACAAACTTGGAATTTCAATTCAACATCTACAAACTTGGAATTTCAATTCAACATCTCAATTCAATAATTTTATTTGTAAATATTTAAGTTGTAAACAAATGATACTTGAGTGATTTTTGTTGGAAAAATTGTTTTATATATCTATATATATATGTATAGACTTATAGAGCAATTTAGACGACTAAAAACGGCTACAGTATGCCCACGAATGAGTCAAAACTCAATAGTGGCTTGTATTTATAGCCTCGAAAAACATGATGCAATATTACGTAATCTAGAGAAGAAGAACCTTATAGAATGTTCTATTCGCGCCATAGTATAAAAAAATAAGGTATACTCAATCCAAAAACATGATGCAATATTACACAATAGTTACGTAATATTGTGCAATCTGCGCCATAGTATAAAAAAATGAGGTATACTCAATCCTAAAAAATGGAAACAAGAGTACAAATCTCTTCTAGAATGTTCTATTTGACGTCACAAACTTAGTATTACGAAATATTACCATTGTCCTAAGATGAAAAAATAAATGACGGACTTTTTTGAAAAAAGGCTTTTAATACATGGTAATAAACAATCAAACTTACATAATAGCAAAGGTAAAATGCTGTTTATGTTGTAGAAAATGAAAATACTTTGGTTGTTATTTGTTTGCAATTTATTTATGATGTATGAAATTGTAATTGAATGATTTAAAAATGTATATTTGTAATTGATAACTAAATGTATGTAATTTTATATAAAAAATGTGAAATATCGATGTAATTGTATACAAATTGTATACAAAAAGTAGTCTAAATTCGATGTAAAAAATATCAAAATTTGATGTAAAAATGTTGAAATAAGCTAATTTTAAGGAGATTTTTTTGATTGTAAAAAAACCGACTGCGCCAGGACATACACTATCTATCTACTAATAACGCCACATTAAATGTCTTTTTCCATTTCTCCACCGAAAAGATGGCGTGCCAGTATTTAATTATTCAATTTTTTAGATAATTTTTAAAGAAACGAAGATAGCCTTATATACATTATGTTATTATGGCAGAATTTTGTTATGTTATATTTAATTCTTCCTATTATTGATCATCGAAGTCAAAATATAGGAATGACTTATTTCGATTTATGGCGTTATTGCACTAAATAAAAAATAATTTTCTTGAATTGAAAGATTATAAAAAGCCATAGGGTCCAGTAGGGTAAATGGAAACAGTATTTTTTAAATTCTCATATATTATACAACTTTTAGTAGTCATAACAGTTGTTGACAATTTCTGCATTATGATATAGTTTCAAGAACACTTTCAGTAACGACGATGTCGCAATTAAAAGTTTTAAGTACTTTCGGTTTTTCAAAAAAAAATTCAATTTATATTTGCTCTTAAAAATAAGATAAAACATTTTTGTCGGTGTAAACGAAAACAAACAAATTTGTTAGTATGTTATCTGTAGGAATGACTTCTAAAGCATTAGAAAATAATATTTGTCATTAGCATTGATTTTATATTACTTACTTGAATATATTAAGTAGATACACAGATTTCTGGTGACTCCATATTACCTACAACTATATATTAGTGATGGCTAAGGACAAATGAGAATTTTACCATTTTTAGATTCTGAGTGATTTTACAATGATGTGTGTTTTTTTATTTTTGTGCCTGTGTACACGATAAGTAGTCGAAATAATTCAATATTCAACTTCAGGATCTTGTTCGATGGAAAAGTGAATATAGTTGGTACTTTTAGCTGGTCAAATTTTAAAATTCCCAATAGTTTTCTATGAGAAATTAATATCGTTTCCAATTACCCCTATTTTAATTTACCTCCCTCGACCATTCTTGAGTCCGGACTTTTAGGGCTTAAAAGAAGTTTAGTTTAAACGCACATGCGGGTAAAGAACTGTTTTAAGGGGCCTGGTCGCGACCTGTTTTTTTGCTCAAAAACATGCCTTACAGGAAAATCTTTCACGCCTTGTAGATTGGTCCGATTTCCGTATTTTTTTTTTGTTAAATAGAGAAAGACGTATTGCAGGGCGCATTGGACTTGGATTTTCAAAATTATTTTTCGAAATCTTATATTACAAGTTTGAATTTAATCCATTTTTACAACTTTTTAGTTTTTGTATTATTATTTATTTTTAGCAACGTAATCAAAAATCAAAGTCCAATGCGTCCTGTAAAAAATATTCTTCTATCCAACAAAAAAAAAATTACGGAAATCGGACCAATCTACGAGGTGTGAGAGTTTTTCCTGTAAACTGTGTTTTGACCGATATAATACACCCTATCAACCCCCCTAAATAGGTATTGGGTAGTAGATTAGTGGAGAAGTCTTATAATTGAGGTGGCAACTAAAATATAAAATTTAATTTTCAAATTTTATAGAATTGCGGAAAATTTGAAAAATCGCGACCAGGCCCCTTAAGTACCTATCTCAGTATTTAACTTCTGATCACTTTTTCTCAAAACTATAAACGTTGAGTTGCTATGGTCTTGTTCCTGATAGGTGGGACTTGTCGAGTATTGCATATTATACTTACCAAGTCCTATCATAGCCGTCCCGAGGAGCCCTTGGAGCGTCCCCTCGGCACCGGCTGGAGCTATCAGTGCAGCGTACGAAGTGGCTGCCGAGTAAGCTAATGCGAAAGTCACGCCGTTGAGAATTTCAACCGGTAAAACCCAAACGGGATTGGTTATGATCGAGTACAGGAAAAATCGGACGGCGAATCCGAAGAACATCAGAGAGAACGAATTCATGTGGCCAATGAGTTTGATGACATAACCTGTACGTGAAACGATTATATGTAAATTATTGTACAACAATATTAGTATTGAAATTTAATATTATTCAGTCATCGGAGTTTATTCTCTTACGAGAGAGCATTAAGTATTATAGTATAATATAATTACTGGATAGAAAGAAAAACGGGAAGTCTCCCAAGAAACATTCAATCGAAAGCGCCAACCCTTGGATCGTCTTTATGTACGGTTTCGTTTCCGGGTGGTAAAGGTTCGCTAATTCTTCTGTATACCTTTATCAAACATATAAAATATTATTATCTAATTTATATCTATTTCAATATTTTGTTATTTTGTATTTTGTATTTTATTAAATGTCAAGACAAATCGTGACGATTAATTATTGTTTTAATAATTATTAATAATTATTAAAGAAATAATTGTATTTGATATTATTGTATATTGTATGCATTGTTACTTACACATAGAGATAATACCAAACAATAGGACAAAGCATTCCAAACAAAACGACCCATAAAAAAAATGCCAGAACTCTTAATTTAGAGAACAATTTTTTCACATTAGATACTATAACTCTTCTTTCAATATTTTCAACAATCTGTAAAGTCAAAAAAATACAATACCTATATTATTAAACATTGAAATAAACTTTGTAAATTTGCAACTGTGAAAAGAATCTGACATATCGTACAGTTGTGTACTTGTATTAAGAGGACACTACATCCGCATGCGTGTCTCTGTCTTTTACAAACGCAGGACTTGGAAAATTGTACATTCTAAATATACTATTTAACTCTGTTATGTATAAAATTGGAGCGAATTGAACTATTATCAAATTTAGTAATAATATTATTATCTAGTGAACATCATAGGTTTTTCTTTTATATTTTTATTTTAAAGCGAGTTAAGAGTATTTTAAGAACCAAGAAACAATTTTAAAATACTCATAACTCTCTTTAAAATTAAAACATAAAAAAACCTATGAGAGTCACTAGACAATATTATTTCTTACTTTTAAATTTGATAATAGTTTGATTCGATCTTACACTAAACACAACAGAGTTAAAGAGATTATTCATAACGTAAAATTTGCTATGTATTGTGTTTGTAAGACAAAGACAACGCACGAGAATATAATATAGCGTTTTCTTAAAATAACTGTTTAAGGGAATTGCAAACGGACGGTTTTTAAGGAGTCTATAAGGCAAATTGCAAAGAGCATGTATGCTGGTCTTTTAAATTTGAGGGAAGTGATTATTATAGTGTAACTGTAGTGTAAATGAAAAAGCAGACATCACTGAACTAACTGCATGGAATGCGTACTAAGTTCAATTTCTAATATAATAATATGTAAAATGTGCCCATACGGGAACCTTCATAATATACATTCCGATTTGATTTTTAACACTAATATTGTTGAGAATAACAATTTTAATAGATAGTATAACATATCAACAGTCTTGGGTGGTATTCTGAATAAAGTATTCCAAATACAGTATTCGGAATACTTTTTAAGTATATAGAAAACTTTTAAAATACTTTTTCCAACAGTATTCAGAAAAACTATTTAGAATATTTTTTAATATAAATACCTATTATTTACAATAATAATTTTTTTCTGGTTTTAGATAATTATATACTTTTTAACATTTTAAATCATATATAAATAACTTAAATTCACTAAATTATATAATATGTTGGCAAATTTTCAAAATTTGAAAAAGTATCATTGGTTTAATATTTAAAACAAAAATTAAAAAGAATTTTAACGGTAGGTATTTGAAATACTTTTGAAGAATTTGGATACTATTTTCTAATTTTAAGATATTTAATTTGAATAATCAACACTTGTCAAACATTTTAAATTGAGCAGAAAAACATGTCAAGTGCCGAAAACAATTCAAATAATTTTTGAAAGTATAATCACGTTACTAGGTCCATTGGTCCTATGACTGACGAACGATTCGTACATTTTGGTTGAAATCATATTAATTTCAATGGGGGGCTTCAGAACTAACAGTTATTAACTAAAAATTATAAGTTGAGGCTTTTTCCCCATACCTTTATGATCTAAAATAATCATTAAATTATTGTTTTTAGTTATGGTCACTAACAGGTGTAATGTTGAAAGATAAAAGCTTAATTAAATTTAAAAAAAGATACCCCTTACAAGGACGTGATACCCGAATTGGTTGTCTCCGTCTCACAAGTGTGTCGGTCCCATATCAAATTTTACAATCAGCAGAACACGTGTAGCTCCATTAGTAAAAAGGTGATCTGCTGTACAGTAGGTTACAAGTGGGTCACTTTACAATGGATAGTATTAAATTTGAATTCAATGATATAATATCATTGTATAAGAAAAACGATTCTGAGCGGAGATGCTATGTCAGTCTAGGTATAAGACATATTATATACAAATCCATGGTATTAAAAAAAAATTGACCTATAATAGGTATCTATAATAAATTCCAAATTATTCATATCTCAATATACATTAGGTACTTATAACGCGTTATACATCAAAAACAAACCGTGATACTATCATGGATATATAGCAGTATACTTTAGACGTTTCAAGTACCCAAAAATAATATTATACAATCACAACAAAATAGCTATAAAAATAAACTGTGGTTATGTATTTTTAGATTTTTTGGTAACAGAATTAACTACATACGTTTAATCTTGTTTTAAATTTTCAATCCTTAGATATAAAAGTTGATCATTTTATAAGTTTTTAACTACAAAATAATTAATCAATTTTAAATTTGATAAATTTTGTCAAAATTCGATCTCTAAATGCTTCTAAAAACAAATTGTACCTGTATATTCTTAAAATTTTTCAACTGCTATTGTTACAATATATCAGGAGCCTTGTATTAAATTTTTACACTTTTGGGCCCAACAGATGAAACTTTATTGATATTCATAGAATAAAAAAATAAAAAAATTAAAATATGAAATATTATCCGTAAATACAAGTCAAAATATTTTGAAAATGTTATCAAGTGTAAGAATTTATAAAATAAACATTCAGTGAAATTGTCATGTATCTACAGTTATTTGTTTTTGAATATCAACAAAATAAGAAAATCGCTCCATGAGAAATCGAGTGAATATCCAATGTTGTAAAAATTTGAATTTCAAATGCTCATAAAAATTTAATTTGACTTTCTTATAGACATTTTTTTTTTGATAAAGGTACACAAACTTATAAGGAAACTTGTATTACATTTTAAAATAATTTTAGATTAAAAAAACAAATTTTATGAATTCATAACTCAAAATAATTATATAATTGTCGTGATTTTTAAATGTTTTGTCAAGATTTGAACTTTAAATGTGTATAAAAAATAAACTTTTTTTAAGGGTTTTTAATATTTTTCAAATGTCAATTTAACAATATATTAGGAGTCTTGTATTACATTTTCAAGTATTTTTACTCAACAAATATAGTTTTATTGACATTCATAAAAAAAAATACTAATAAAATTGGAAACTGAAAATGTCAATAAACAGTTCAAAATAAATGAAAATATTTTGAAAATTTTATCGAGTATGGAAAATGCAAATATAAACAATCAGCTGAAATTGTACCTACGGTAATTTGTTTAATTTCACACCAAAAGCTAAAGTCGATTTTGCGTCAAAATTCCGGTTTTCCTTAATTTTTCTTTTGTTTTTAACGGCGCTTTTGAAGATTACTGGAAATTTTAAGTATTGACCTTCCCAATTCACCAACAATATTCACTTTCCTATCGAACATCTTGTACACTAAAAACACACATCATTGTAAAATCTATACATTCATCGTTCCAGTTAAAATCTAAAATATTGAATATTAATCATATAAAAATTGAAAAAAGCAGAAAATAAGTACTGCACACTTTTAAATTTGCTACTGCACATTTAATATTAGCTACTGCACATAGGCCCTTTAGTATTATATATTTATATTCTATTAGTAATACTGAATGAGTTATAACCACAGAACCCTGCCTATATTAGTTCATAGCTGACATTTCGGGGCGGCTGAGAACTCAAGTGGCTGAGCGTGTGCGTACTGTATACTGCATAATATAAGGAAGAAGAAGTATAAAAAAAAGTATTAAAAATGTATAAAATGTTCAACTTTTCTAGCTAAGGATTAAAATTTTAAAACAAAGTTCCGAGTAAATAGTGAATATATAAATTACTTTTTCACAATAATATCATACTTAGTAATATCATAGGCTGACTGACCGTTTTAGCTCAGAATGGTTTTTCTTATACAATGATATTATATCATTGAATTCAAACTGAATATCATCCATTACAGTGACCCAATTGTAACCTACTCTACAGCAGAGCGACATCCACTTACCCACTTTTTTTATTTTAAATTTTAAATATAACTAACATATTCTTAACCATACAAAATTTGATTTTAAAATTTCATGAAGACTTAAAAAATGTTTTTACAAGTTTAATCTTTTTTCCAGGATAGTTGGTATAATTGATACTAACAGGTCTATTTGTTCGAAAAATCATTTGGGATCAACTTAACTGGCATCTGGTTCTTAACTGAACAAGGTGTAAAAATCAAAATTTTCTCAATATATTAGGTTCCCATTGTCCCTACATCGAAATATTCAAGCTTTGAAGTTATATATTTATAAAATTAATTTTTTCGAAATAATGCAAAAAAAAAACACAAATCATTTGTCATAGTAAATAATTTGGATTTTTTTTACTTTACAATATTACCATTATGTGTTTATGTTTGATTGTAATTATAATTATCAATTTTGAAGGAAGTTAATAATAGAACTATTAAGAAAAGTTGTTTATAATTACTTCAATCTTTGTAGCCACATATATATTTAAGAGGTTGCAAATCAATGAAATTACAAAAACAGGTGTATAGTTTTTGTATTCTTGTCCTCTGCTGAACCAGTCTACACTCACTCCGGCTACAACGGCAATTGAGCCACGACCAAGCGATCCCCATCCTCTCTGTTGCCCATATTTATGTTTATCTTCGCCTTTATTATAAGACAAAACAACAATGTGATTAAACGATATAATATCATTTAAACTATAAAATAATAAAAACGTATACATAGATCTTATGAGTAATTGTATGTTTACATCCAGTTTTTCTACGTTAACTAAAATTTTTAAAGAGATTTACAGTTTACATTATACAGAGCATAGGTACACACTCATTGTCTAAATATTTGTACCTCACACAAAAATATTTACCGTATAGGTACCTACCAAAATTTTTTTTACCAATCCTCATTGTAAAACTGAAATCATTAGATATTTCAAGTACAGACCACACATTTTGAAATAATAGATTTTTTTTTATTGCTATAAATTAATTGTTAACTGTACTTACAAAAGTTTTCTCACTTCTCTACAGCAGGGGATGTTTAATATTGGAAATTGAAGCTTCAGAATCGCTTATAGATCTAACTGCTTATTTTTTATTAATTCACGTTCGTATTGTAGAATATGTACCTTTTACTAGAGAATTAAGAAAACTTTTGTAAATATAATCAAGAATTAATTTATAACATTAAAAAAAATCTATTATTTCAGTTTTAAAATAAGGTTTTTTAAACAAAAATTTGGTGTGTATACGGTAAATATTTTTGTGCTAGGACAATGAGTGTGTAATCTCCGTAAGGTTTGACACGGTAAATCGGTATCTCCTGAGGGAGCATTCTTACTTGAAAAATTTGAGTTACCGTGGAAAAGCTGGCTGTGAGCATATAAACACATACTACTCTCATGAATAATAATCATTGAGTTCTTTCGCATTAAACATTAAATGATTGTATTTGCAGCGAGGTAAGACCCTTAAATTATAGGGACTTTAAAAGTTTGCAACATTAGCATTCCGTTTAACAATCTATTCATAACAACAGTTTAAAAGACTTGTACCTAATTCAATAACTTTCTATCATTAGCTGTCTACAGTTTACTTCGAAATATAAAATGTATACTTTCCTGCAATTTAAGTAATATTTTAATACTGATTGTACCCAAGAAATCCATGCAGATCGTATCCTCCAATAAGACTTTGGCGATAGATGATGAATGGAACAAGGTCACTATGCAGAAAAATAACCAAAACAGCGGTGACTCCATCACGTAATCGTCGTCCATTTGCGTTTTGGAGACCGTGCCCGGTATAAATATCAACACGAATGATATCAGGCTCATGATAACCATGATCAAAAAAAACACCAGCTTGCGGCATTTGTATTTATCTGTTATGCCACCGACAATTGGTCGTATCAATAATCCCGGTAGCGGCATAAGTGTAAATGTCAGACCGACGATGAATGGCGAATAGCCCCTTTGTATCATTATCGTTGACAAGAACACGAGTAACGGAGTTAATCCTGAATGACAAGTAAATGAAATTTATGTCAGTGTAGGTTCATAGATTATGTGATTACGTAATTATACATTACATTTTGTTTTAATTATAGAAACGCTCTTGAGCACAAGTAAAAAGGTTACATTAGAGTACCAACATATTAATATATAATATAATAATATAATATTACAATATGACAATAAAGTATCAAACAATAAGTTTATTATGACAAACGAAATTATATACCTATTATGAAAAGAGATTTCCTCTCATTTACTAATTTTTTTTTCTCATTTATTTATAAAGTTTATAAAAATTGGTAAAATAATAATAATCAAGGCTGGGCAAGTTAACTATTTTTTTTTTAACTCGTTAAGTTATGTTAATATAGAAAAATGTAAGTTAAGTTTAAAGTCAAAAGTTAACTTCATTTTGTTTTTAACTTGTAAAAGTTACAAGTTAATTAGAAAATAAAATTCCCTGACTTAGTAAAAATAAGTAACTTTCTTTATTTTTTAAATAAAATTATAATTATACCTACCTACTATTTTTAAAGCCAACAAATAACATAACAATTCAATAAATCAATAGATGTCTTACAATTTTTAAATAAATATTTGTAATAAAGTAAGTTACTGTAGGTACTTATATTTGTATATTGTACTTTACCCAATGATGAAATCCAATAAAATAATTAAATTATTGTTATGTTTTTGCTAACGTAAATGGTCCACAACTATACTAAACATTATAAAAATCAAATTCATTATTATTTATTAGAATATAATATAATATCAAATATTATGCAATTAATTGTAAGAATTTAGAAATACGTAAATACGATGAACTAATACTCTACTACCACGGGTATTATACTATTATCACACCGATGGGCCAAGTCATCGCCGTAATTCTAGGAATAAATACAAATATAATAATTAATTATATTAACAAATAATAATGATTAGGTACAGCGTATAGGTAAGGTTACAATATGTCGTGTATGGGTAAGTACTGAGTAAATTGTTATATTTTTCTTTTCTTAACGACGCGGTTACCAATATAACATTTCCGTCTATAATATAGTTATATAATATTTTCTGTGAATATGCAAAATAATAACTTACTATTATTATAAATTATTATTTACTAAATTATATTTAATATTTCAGGTTTTTTTTTATATAATTAATTTTAAATATGTGGATTGGGAAAAAATTAACTTAACGTGCCAATAAAATGAATTAACTCGTTAAGTTACTGAATAACATGGGGAAAAATGTAAATCGTTAAGTTAGATGTTACTTCTAAAAAAAAAATAACTCGTTAATTAACTTAGTTAAAAGTAACTTAACTTTAACTTATTAACTCGTTAATGCCCAGCCTTGCATAATAATATGGTCAATACAATATTTTTAAATTATTTTAAAATCGTGAAAATGTTTTAAGATATACCATTGAAATTTGATGAATGAAAAATAATTACTTTTAGAGGTTAAAAGTGTATATAAATTATATAAATTAGTCACAGTTATAATATTAGATATAAATGCTCTCTAATATAATGTTGTTCTTACCAGCCTGTGAGAGAAAAAAATGAATTTTGATCGGTATAAGTCTTTTATTAATCTGGAAGAGATGCATGTTTTTCGTTTGACAAGACTGGAAATGAATTTTTTCTGCTTCTATTTCAACTACAATTATAGTTCCCAAATAACTGTCACACTCTATTAAAAAATCGTACTCGATCGTTACACTAAACTGATAAATATTTACGCTTCGATGATAACTTGCTATTTACTGGTCGACGCATTCATACTTGTGCAGCGGTTATGGTACCTACGTACCTATAAGTATCATATTTAATATTTTAAAATGTTCACTGATAAGCCGATCGATTAATATCCTTGATGTTTACGAATACACCTACTATCTACGAAGTACTCTTACACAATATTCAGCATTGTCAGCGATAAGTTAAAGTGGCTACGTCTGTCATGGCTATATAAGGAGGTCATTACGTATTAATGCCAAAATAGATCTACTGTACCACTTTTGAAAAAAAAAAAAGAGTCCGTAATGTGATAAAAAATAAACAAAATGTTTTTATCACAAACACTCGACATATTTTTCACAAAAATATGAAATGTTGGCTAATGTTTGAAATATTTCGGAATTTTAAATTTCACTCTTCTTTCAACGGAATTATGAAAAAAAAATGTTTCTTCTTTTATATGTGTTAGATTATAGATTATTGGAAATTAAATAATATATTGATTACAAACGGAAAACATTTCCGAGAAATTAGGGCAAAGAACTCGATGACCTAAAAATCTGGAAAAATTTAATAAAATGACATAAATATGTAAATGTGACTAAAAATGACATAAAAAATAAAATTTAATAACGTTTATTAGATTTGAAAAAAAGAATTAAAATGCATAAATAACATAAAAAAATGAAATTATATTTGATTTAAATTAAAAATATCACATGAATATAATACTAAAATCATTTAACTTGATACAAATAAAATTCTTTCTTTTAGGTTTTTCTTTTTCTAGTTTCATATTTTTTTGCTTATAAACTGTAAAAATTATAGGAAGTCAAATTAGGTACTTGGGCAACTAAATATTAAATCATAAATGTAAATTTATCATTAAATTCAAGGCTGGGCATTAACGAATTAATAAGTTAAAGTTAAGTTACTTTTAACTAAGTTAATTAACGAGTTACTTTTTTTTTAGAAGTAACTTCTAACTTAATGATTTACATTTTTCCCCATGTTATTCAGTAACTTAACGAGCTAATTAATTTTATTGGCACGTTAAGTTAATTTTTTCCCAATCCACATATTTAAAATTAATTCAATTTTGTAAAATTAATTATATACAAAAAAACCCGAAATATTAAATATATTTTATTAAATAATAATGTTTTAATAATAGTAAGTTATTAGGTATATTGCATATTCACAGAAAATATTTTATAACTATATAATAGAGGGAAATGTCATAGGGGTAATATAACAATTTACTCAGTACCTATCCCATACACGACATATCACCTAACCTATACCTAATCATTATTAATATCATGACTTATTATTATATTTTTATTCATTCATAGAATTACGGTGATAACTTGGTCCGTCGATGGAAATAATACTCGTAGTAGCGTGGTAGTAACTATATTTACCTAATTAAAGCATAATACCTATTATTAATATAAGTACCTACAGTAACTAATTTTATTACAAACATTTATTCAAATATTATAAGACATACTTATCCAGCCTTGATTAAATGTGTTATATCTGCATAGTTTATGTCGAAGATAACAAAATACAAAAAAAAAGCTTATCTATTTTATAATCTAGATAAATTATATTTATCTATTATATCTTTATTTATATGTATTATTTTCATCGGTGCTATATTATGTTGTTATACAAAGTATTGGACTTTTATATCTAACAATAAAATTATATAATATAAATATATAACGATATAATACGCCGTAATTATGAAAATGAACTGTCGTCTTCCTCCAGAACCTGTAATAACGAGATGGGGAACATGATTAGAGGCTGCTTTGTTTTACTCTGAAAATGTTAGTAAATTTAAAGAATATTTACCTAATATAGAGATGACGCCGATCTGTCAAAAAATTAAAATCCATTTTGAGTACTACATCAATTATATCTGATTTAACATTTATTCGATCATATTTGTCCGAGTTCCCAAATTCAATTACAAAACTTGAAAAACAAAATTCTACTTTAAATTATCAAATGAATATAGTTGAAACAGTAAGAGATGGACTTAAGATAATTGAGAATGAAAAGGGACAAATACTGTATGAAAAATTCAAATCAGTATTTGATAAAAATCCCGGATACAATATTTGAAATGTATGCAACGATTCAATAAATGGAAATTACGTAGATTTAAAAGAAAATCCTGCTATTATAATCTTCTACGGACAATGCCCGATAACAAGTATTGACGTAGAACGTGAATTATCGCAGTTAAAACACATATTAAGTGACAGATATAATTTTAAAGAAAAAACTTGGAATGTACATTATAATAAATGTTAATCAAATATTGTAAAGTCACTTATATACATATTGTCAGTTTATTATTATTTTATTAATAAATAGTAATAAATATAATTAGTTATAAATAATAATATAAAAAAAATATTATTAAAATTAAAATTTGAAGTGCCTATAGTGAAATTTTTGTTTTTGCACGTTTTTGCATATTTTAACATTTTATTGCACATTTTTTAGATTTAGGCTGCACAAAAACCAGTCTTTAGCTATCGTTAAGGAACCGTCACACCCGCATGTGTTGTCTCCGTCTGACAAATGTACAACACAGCAAAAATTGTTTTGCGTGGGACAACTGTTCCCAAAAAATGTTCACAACACATAAAGAAGAACTTTATCTGTGCCCATATTTTACATAACGTAAATACAATAAAAGTTATTTGCTTCTGAACATTTTGATTTTTGATTTGCTTGTAAAAGATGATTGGATGGTGCTATTAAAAAAAGAGCACTCTGTTGCACAGATAAAGTTCTTCTTTACTTGTTGTGAAAATGTAGTAGTTCTACCACAAATATGGTGCGAGAACCGTTGGCCCGGTCAAAACAGTATTTGCTATGTTGTACATTTGTAAGACGGTGACAACACATGCGGGTGTGGCGGGGTCCTCTTAATACAGTAGGCGGGTAAGTTGAATTATGATTATTAGTTCATAACCATATTTGTGTATAATAATATGTTTTGGAAGTTTCAGGTACCTATCCACAAATAATATTTTAAAAATATAACACAAAACTAAAATCGTTTTTCTACATTTAAATACCTAATTTCGTCGAATATATACCGTCAGTCTAGGTATAAGACATATTATATACTTATCTATATGGTATTAAAAAAAAATTTTACCTATAATAAATTCCAAATTAATCATTTCACAATAGCCATTAGGTACTTATAACTTGTTATACATCAACAACAAACTGTGATAAAATAATAAATATATAATAGTATACTTTGAAAGTTTCCATTACCCAAGAATAATATTAAAAAATCACAACAAAATAACTAAAATAGTTATTCTAGGATTTTAATATATAATTTCGTAAAAATTTTAAATTAAAAAGACTATAAAAATAAACTGTGATTATGTATTTTAAGATTTTTTTGAAACAGAATAAACTACTTACCTGCAATCTTGTTTTAAATTTTAAATCCTTAGATATATAAGTTAATCATTTTATAAATTTTTAACTACAAAATAATTATTCATATATAAAAAAATTGTGCCCATGTATTTGTAATATTTTTCAACTGCTATTGTAACAATATATTATCATATTTTGATAAAGGTAGCAAAACTTATGAGAAATCTTTTATTACATTTTCAAATCTTAGATATGAAAAAAACATTTTTTATTACTTTCTAACTCAAAATAATTTGCTATATTTCTTGCTTTTTCCGTATTTTGTCAATATTTAAACTTTCAATGTTTATGAAAAAAAACTGTCAAGGATTTTTTTATATTTTTCAAACGTCATTGTGACAACATAGCAGGAGCGCTGTACTAAATTTTCAAGCTTTTTTATCTAACAAATAAAGTTTTATTGACATTCATAGAAAAAAAATCCAAAAAGTTAGAAACTGAGTATATCCGTAAACAGCTCAAAATAAGTCAAAGTATTAGAACCTAATTTTAGAACCATTATTTTGATTCATTGATATAATATTGTGTTGTTCATAGTTTGTACATTTACATTTAATAAGCTGGGGAAATGCCAAAAAATTAAAAACGAATTTGCCGAGTACAACGGGTGTCGCACAAATTCTGAAAATAGTCACACAAATTCACATTGATGGCACACTAATGTTTATCAAAAAAAAAATTTCAAAAAATTTATTTGGGTGGCTAACCATGTTTTATATTTTTGATATTTTTTGATTACAGAATAACCCACCTACGTGGACCTTAGTTTTAAATTTTCAATCCTTTGCTAAGAAAGTTGAACATTTTATAAATTTTAACTACAAAATCATGTTTAAATATAAAATTTGATACATTTTGTCAAAATTTTAATTTTAAATGTTGAAAAAAAAAATCGTATCGATGTATTTTTAATATTGAATTTTAAATTGCCATATTTGATATTTATAAGGGCATATTATTATATTTATAATTGCATCCGTTAATTAGTGTTTTTCAGGTCATAAAGGTCATTAACATCCTAACCCTAATTTTATTATAATAACTTACAGCCACTAGTAAAGGATATGGTATATTAGAACCCGAAATGAATTCGTTATTGTTAAACACGTGAAGAATATGACAGGGATCCAAAATGAACATCACACTGTCACATGATAATAATATAATATAGTTAAACAAAAATAGGATATCTGATAAGTCATTGCACTGATATAATAATTTATTATAATTTATTTTAAATCACTACAATCATTAATCAAACAAACAGATATTGTGATGCCTAATTGACCGAACAGTAAACAGTTGTTATCATTACGATACTTAAATGATGGAAAATGCAGTAAGTACCACTTAAATATTAATAAATGTCCCTGAACGAGGAGTC